CGCGCGAGCTTGCGGTCGGCGAGAGCGACGAGAACTCGACGCCCAGACGAGCCGTTAACGGCGCGCGCTCGCGCGGCGATTGAATGATCGGCGCGCGGTGCGCACACTCGGGATCGATGAGGTCGTCCCGCGAAGGTGAAATATGGCGAATTGCTGTCGAGGGAGAAGCGAGATAGACGATAAAAATGCAAACGAGAATAGCCGGTGACGCAAGCGCGCAAGTTCGACGCCTAGCGTCGGACGGAAATAACGCGCTTGTTTGGATTCGCATACGCGCGCGCTGGCGGGAGTTTTCACCGCTGCCCCTTTGTGCGCCGCGCTGCGTGCCGGATTAGACTCGCGCTGCGCAAATTGGAATAGAGACGCGAGCAGCGGAGAGCGCCAACCACCGCGACGACCACTCCTATCGAGGCTCGCCTGCGAAGAACGAAGGGGGCGAAATCAGCGCCGCCGGGCTCGCTTTCCAGTCATCGAGAGTCGCGCTCCCGTTCTCAAGGGCCTCGCGCAGTGGCTCCGCGGCAGAGACAACGAACGCCAGCGCAGCCTGTCGTCCTGCGCGGCAATGCGGCCCATCGAATAGCGCAATTAACGCTCGAGCTGCGGCTCTCTGGCCATTACCTCCGGTCGCACTTTGTTGTGCCCGCGCTCTAATGTCGCCTTCAACTTGTTAGTACTCTTCTTATTGTTATCGTGCCTTCTGCGCGTCGATAGTGATCGCGGCCCCACGCACCTTTCCATTGGCTTTGCCAGTTCGACGTGTTTTGCGAAAGTCTGACTCTCGAAATTTCCAACGAGCGCTCGGCATCTGTTTCATTATCATCGCGTCGCCTGCGAAATATCACAAGTCTGCACAACGCCGACGCGAGTATGTTTTTGGATATCGTTAAATCGCGAAAATTGGGAGAGCAACCACTAAACTGAGCAGGCGACGATGAATGGCTTTTGATATTGCGCTCATGGGCGGAACTCCTTAAAAGTTAATCGAGATATTGGACAAAGTGTATTTTCCTGGAGTAAACTCACCAGACGTCTCGGATAATAATCGCGGGCGATCGAGCTGTGATGCGGCATCGTGCGATTGGCCTCTCGGCGTGCATATAAGAGCTATAAGCTGGCACTCGGCACGGCTCTCATACGCAGAGGTTGTCGTCGCACTCGCGGGTGACGCGCGCGTCGGGAGCGCAAGCGAGGAGGTAAGATCGAACTGACATGATCGCGCAGGTGAGCAGCAGTCGGAGGTCGGCGGGCTGTCGGCGCTTGGCGGGCGGCCGACAGACGACTCGCTCGCGCTTTCGGAAGGCACGAGGATGTAACTAAGCGCGCGCTCGCGCGCGCTAGCTCCCGCGGCACGAGAGAATATCCAGGGGTCCGCGCATGCGCCCCGTCCTATCCGCGCTCCGCTCTCTCGCTCTGCCTGCAGCTCTTTCTCCTCCTTCGCTACATATACAGCCTAGTTCCGCTCCTTTTTCCTCTCTCCGCCGGCTCCTCAAACGCACAGCAGACGGATAGAAGGGACACGCGTCTTCGTCACTCGGCTAAGACAGTGCCAACGGCCGCTACCGAGCCGACCATTCAGGGATCCGTATGGTGTGGTCGACGCTATAACCTACTCTCGTCCTTGCAGCTTTTTATCTGCAAAAGGCTCGAACGCTACTGCAGCTGATAGATAAGTCCGTCGCCGCTCGGTCGCCGGCCCAGACAATAACCTAATTCGGTTACTCGGCTTTCCGCTATTGTTCCAGCTGTGCCTCCATCTCGTATTATTCTCCTGCTGATTACCAACACACTCGTATTTCGCTTCCTTCCCGGGTCATCGTTATATTTTACAAGCTGATCGAGAGGGAGAGACGAGTCTATTTTGCAAATCTCAACTGCGCGAGGGCAATAATCTGACGGTTGTGGTAATACTTGATTTGCTCGACGAATGAACGCAGCTGAGAAAACCTCGAGGTCGCAGAGACGGTCGGAAGCTCGCTCGACCGAATGAAGGCACGCTCGCGAGTTTGATATTGTTATTGTTGCAGTACTCGCGGCCAATTTTTCAGCCTCCAAACCGGTTGCGGGCAGGCGGGCAGGCAAGCCGTGCTATGCCAGGCCCGCGCGTCGCGCGATCATTTGTCCCGATACGTATATCGTCCGCAAAGTCTTGGCCTTGATCCTCGATCGGCCCTTGATTGGCCGCGATTGGCTAATTTGCAACAGCTCACGTACGCCAAACTACTTCTGCCTGCGCTCAACAATTGCGACCCACCTCGCGTTTCTTCGAGCGTGTTTCTTCGGAAACAATACAAAACAAACGAATTAATAACGGCCATAGCACTCTGCCGTCTTAATCACTTAGCCTTCGCTCTAATAAGCAATCCATTATCCAGTTTTCCTTCCATAATTATAATCCATCACTGCTTCATTTGCTCTCTCCGTAAACGCGTGTCTTATTACGCGGTAATTTCAATTTGCTTTTTTGTCCTTTATTTTTTCTAATACCGCTTCGACTTTCACCTTCTTTTAACAACTCGAGAAGTACTCGCATTCGTCCACTCTATGAACTCAAAATATACATCTCGCGGCCTGGTAAAAGCCAACAAAAGAAAGCTCGAAAACACGCTGCTAGGAAAACATATAACCCAACCCAACTCTACTGTGACTACGTCGTCGGCGTCGTTATGCACTTGCGCTCCCCCGAAAAATGCCAATGTAAACAGTGGCGGAATGATCGGTGCGGCCACAAGCATTCACGAGGCCCCGATCCTAATCGACCCGATAACGCCGATGGGGGAATTTAATTTTAGACGGAAATGCAGACGCGCGCGCTTCAGTTTTTACCCCCTTCTTCCGGCGACGCGCGTGCGGCAGCTTCTTCCCCCTCCCCCCCATTCCGAAAATAAACGTGGACGCGTGTCTGGCGCGCGCGAGCAATAAAATTCCATGTACGACGAGAAAACGCCGCAGCTTTCCTCTCGTCCCTTTTTTCCGACGGGAACACGCGTCTTTTAACGGCGCTTTTGAGCGCTGGCTTTGCCGCTTGCCGCTGCTTACCGGAATTTGTCGGCGACGCCCCGGCTGATTGCCTCATAATCGCACATGCTGCCGCCGAAATTCCTCCGGAGCTGTTTTTCATTTAAAAAAATATTTTCTTTCCTTGCTCAATCGCGCAAGCTTTGCCTCCGCAAGCCATTTGGTTGGAAGGAATGAACGGACCTGCCAATAAACGAACGGCACGCGATTCTCCACGAGTACGCGATGGCATTCTCGTTGGGACGTAAGATCGGGCACGCAGGTCTATTTCGACGTCGTGGGCGTTCTGACTCGCAACGGCACACAGGCCCTCGGTTAGCGTACGATGAGGTGCTAAGACAAGCGTTAAGCTGTTGAGACAGCGCAGTTATCGGCAACATAGTTTTTATAACCACGCTCGCTTCGCTGTAACAACGGTTACAACAGCACTAGAAGAAGAATGCGATTCCGTAATTTTCATTGACGAATTGTAAAATATGACGTGCCAGAGGTCCAGAAAACAAACGGAACAATTAAAATCTCGCGTTGATACCTCGCGCGACACTTACTATGAAATGACTAACCGAAACGAATGAACGGAGTGGACGCTGAGCTAACAATGTCCCGACAATGATTGATACTCGATGGATTTCCGTTGGAGCGGCCCCCGGGGAGAGCGTCGCGATGCAATTGAACAAACACGCCCGAGTAAATAACTTCGGGGAGCGTCCGTATGCGCTTCCATATCAATGCTGTCGTGTCCGCGGCAGAGAAGCTCGTATTTCTGTCTCGCGAACACTTCCGAATCGATAGCTGATCGCGTAAAATTTGGCGATTTCCGCGGAATCTTAGTCGTAATTTTTGAAACGCAACCGCACGTAGGTCGGCCGCAGCGGCTCTTTCCATCGAAAGATAAATCCAGCCAATTGTGCGAAAAGCAAAGTCGCCGAGTCATCGCGAAATACGAGCGAGGCACGTCCGCGGAGGCTCGCTTCCAACTCGACGTCCGTGCCCAAGTTTTAGCTGACGAACGAGGTTCGCGGCGCGCATTAGCCCGGTTTTTCGTGCGTCGTCGCCGCGGGGGCTGCGCACCAACGCCGTGCCGCCGGCGCGGCCAAGTTTAAAACGATGATGGTGCAACCCGACGGCTCGGAGGTCAATGCGACTCGAGCTACCGGAACGAGTTCAATGCATTCTTTTCTTTCCTCGCGCCAGAAACCGTTTCGCATTCGCACACGACGGCCGCGCGAGTTGGGTTATATAGGACGCCAAGTGTTGGAGGCGCGCGACGAGCGATGCTGCAAAGTCGGCGAAAGCCATGGGAGTTCGAAGGGGAAAGTGCGAACCCCCTGACCTGGATCGGAGGCCTTGAAGCGTGGCTCGAGTGGAGGTGGGCTGCTGTGTGCTCGCCAAGAGAAAGCAGCGGCGCTACTACCCCCGCGGACTGCGAGCGCTATAGGAGAGACACTTTACGACGGACGCCCCAATCCCGTTCCGTTCTACTTTCGCGGCTTTGCTTTTTTCGCCTTCCGAGGCTCGAGGAAGCAGAGCTTCGCTTGCACGCGCGTGTGGCAATTTTAAACTCTCGTTAAATTGAAATTGCCGCGCTCGCTCGCGCGGCTACGTTTTTATCGGCGGCAGCCGCATCGTTTTACTCCATGCCGGATTTGCGGAGATTGTCGCCCCCCCCCCCCCCCCCCCATTCGTATAAACTCACGTGTACATTTATACTTAACATTTCTGGTTTGTGCTCCGACTGCATGGAGCGAGGCAAGTACATGCGTTTGAATATTTAATGAGCTTCTGCGTAGTGACACGTTCTGCGGGCGATTGTCATTGTCAGATTTCGCCCCGTGAAATAATGGCATCGAGATAATTAAAGGGTAATCTGATGAACGTCGAAAGAGCGGCTGAAAACGGTTCGGTCCGAGACTTATCTATAATTGGCAACGAGGCTGCGGCGAGCGTGGTGCGGCCGTGGGTACAGTGTGCGCGGATCTACTCACCGTGAGACTCCGACTGTTATCGGGGCTGGGACTGGGGCTCGGCGTGGAGTTCGGCGTGGACGACACGGCGTCAGCTGTCAACGCCGCGCCGTTGCCGTTGGCGGCCGCTGGCTTGAGCTGCTGTTGCTGCTGCGGCGGCGGCGGCGGCGGCGACGCGGGCGTTGACGGCGTGGCGTCCGGCGCTGCGGCCACCGCCGCTGCCGTCTGCGCGCCGAGGCTGCCGCTGCTGACGTTGCCGACGGTCGGGAAGGCGCGCGCCGGGTCCGCCTGCCATTGCTTGTGGATCTGCTGCGAAGTGTCTCTGAACCTCGCGGCCTGCGAACATTGCGCGATTCTCCATGAGCACACGAGTCGTCGCTGAGTGGCGCGTGCGATTCGAATCCGACCGCGCTATTGACGACCGGTAGCTCCCCGAGAGGCGTCCGCGGGCGCTTTGCGTTCGCACCGGAGGCGAGGCATCGGAGGACGGCGTGGCTGCCGCGCATCGGCTTCTCGCTCGACGCCGGAGAAAGGCTCGCGTAGTTGCCACTGCTTCCTCATCGGCCATCGAGCTTACGCAATGATAACAATTAGCGGAGCACGAGCACTACCGTCGAGACGGTCTGTGATTGTCTAGCGGCACTCTGCGGGCGCGCACCTCGTAATTTCGCTGGCACGGTCGCTGCGGTCAGCCGCAGATGAAAAGACCCCAAGAAACGTTTCGAGAAATGGACTTTTCGTACGGTGCTCCCCACATATACGGTATCGTGCAGTGTGGAAGATCAAGCGACACTTGAGGCTTGCGTAAGCCGCAAGTGTTCGATCGTGACACGAAATTCTTACACAGGCGAGAGACGCGCGGCTCCGACTTACGGCTTGACATTAATATGAGAAAATGAAAACGCCGCGTAATTGAATTACAGCTGTCTCGCACTCTCCCACCTTATAATCAGTACATTCTTTGCGGTATTTCGAAACTGCATGCGTGATATACACGTGTAGGATACTCGCTTTGAGGCGATTATTGCGGCAGCGCGAAATACGCGAATTACGACTGAAACATAAATTATTCGCGAGAACGAATGGACTAGTCGCTATCGACTGTGCAAGTGTATGCGAAACGTTTAAAGTGCGCAGATAAACTGGCTGTTTTGCGCGATTTAGCGAGGTTGATGCGGCGACAATAAAGCTTATCTCGGCGCCGGAGCGCAAAAAAATAAGCGTCGAACGCGGCCGGCGGACTGTTACCACTGAGCGAGAGTCGAATGCGCACAAGCGAGTCGCTTATCGCCGAAGACCGCGCTCGTACGCGGAAAATGAAAATCCAGCGCGAGCCGCGCGCGTCACTGCGAAAAACGGTGCTAAAATTAGAAACGCATTTGCGGACAGTTTATGTAACTGTGCGCGCGCGCGCGTGTGTGCCTGGCCGGCCGCGTTAGCATGCGAATGCGCGCCGGCGCGCGGGCATTGAAAATTTATCGGAGCCATTAAAAAAGAGCGCAATATTGGCAGCTGCGCAGTGCAAGTGTGAGTCATGCGGCTGAAGGCGTCGCTAGGAAATTGAGGCGGCAGCGGCGGCGGCGGCCTATAAAACTGTAGTGCGGCGCTGGGATTCGACCCACGCGCGATCGTCGACGGTGCCCGACACGCGGTCCGCGATTCACGAGTCGAGCCGCGCCGCGGCAACCCCACGACACATCAATTTCCTTTCGCACGACTCGCGGTCCAAGCTCCACTCGCGATATCATATTCGCGCTCTCGCCAGCCGTTTAGCCGTATGGGAATCGCCGCGTCCTCGATTTCCGCAGCTGTATCGCCGTCTATCTTCTTGCAATCGCTTCTATTTTCGACTTACTCGCCGGAACTGTCCTTCTTAGCGGCCGTGTCTGCTTGAGATTTATCGCGTTACGACTGCAGTCAAATGGATATTGATTAAACTGAGTTCAGCCGCAAAGCAATTAAACGACCGACAATAAAATACATATTAAAATATATCTCACAGCGGGACGTCAAAACATTCAAGTCACACAAAATGTCTCGTAAAATTAAATCCCATGGTTCTGAAGCTGTTCTCTGAGCTGACTATATAATATGGCTAAAGATAATGGACCGTCATTGTCTCGTATAAAATGTTAATGCTATTTTTCAATTCCACGTGGCGCAGGCAAGTGGAGCTAACTGTGAAAATGATTATGCGATGGGACACCGAAAAAGTGATTACGCGGCATAGGCTAAGATCATTAACATAAAGGAAACGAGGACGATTATCAAATATTTTGAACCGCTTGAGACGGAGCTGCTGAGAGTATTTGCGGACTTTGCGCCGGTCACACTGGTGTCCGTATCGAGAGAGTGGCCGAGCAAACATTAAGTCCTCCCACGCGCTCACGGCCAAATCAAACAATCAGCATGGAAAAGGGGGAGGGCCACGTACGTGTACGTACGCCAAGAGAGCGAGAAGAGAACCCACCTCGTCAAAAAGGTTATCCAGTTCTTTCTTCGGGATCTTCGTCCTCATGCCGGCGACATGCCGGCCGCAAGAGCCCGCAGACTCAGTTCGAAAGCCGAGCGAACCCGGCGTGACTCGCAAATGTCACGCGGCTACGATCCCTTTTGTCTCTCTCCCTCTCTCTTTTTCTCCAAACTTGTTTTTGCCCTGTCTTATTGCCACTTTTTTCTTACTCGCGCGGCCGACAGACAATATAAATAGTCAATGACGCCGGGAGGCGAAGGTCGTGCGAGTGCTAATGCTCACTGTCACTCCATGCAGATTAACACTCTACTCCTCCTCGCATAGCTTCAATTGTCATTTCGATGGACTGCACTTGCCGCGGGCACTCTCTTCTTCGTCCGCTCTTTCGTTCGTTCGCTTCTTTGACATTTCGTTGATGCTTAAAAACTGGTTTCCACTCGGCGCATTACTACAGCATTTTCCCGTCATTGCAACGCTGTTTGACGATTGCATTTTTCGTTCAGTGCTTCAAATATATTGCTACACATCTCGCTTAAGGCGTTATGTGGAAATTAATCGATACGATATTTCATGACACGCGACACGTGAAAATCGCGGAAAGGATGCTAAAGAACGAGCTTGTAAATTTATCAGATTGTTATGTAATACAGCCGATTAATGCTCGTACTGAAAATATATGCGAATTTTTTTTATCGACATTTTTCAGCACTTTTAATCTGATACGAAAGATACAGCACGCTATATAAGAAATATCACAATGATTAATCAGCGAGGAAGGAGTTTCGATAAAATAATATATACTAGCGATTTGTGAGTAGGTTTAACGTGTTTTTACAAAAAGCAAGTCTGTTTGATTATGCAAAGATGTTCAGAAGATTGCATAGCGCACTGTAGAAGAAACGGCTATAAAGATATTAAGGAATTCGATAAATCATCACAAAGAAAAAAGTTGAAGAAAAAAGCGAGGATTGGAGCTAAACAAACGAAAAAGAGAGAAGTATGGATAGTTCGCAGCGAGTTTTGGTCGGCGAATCACAGAAGAGACAAATCTGAGCTAGAGGCGTTCACAGCTTATCTGCTGGCACCTTTTCGGGTCACATTGCGGAACGGTATCGCGTATTAAGTCGGAGAGCGCGCCGCCGACACTTTGCAAGCGGCTACGAAGATTAACTCAATTAGTTTTATCTGGGCGAAGCGTAATGCAAGTGCGATCACGGAATTCGCGGCTTATTTTTTGCTTGCGATCTAATTAATTGGGTCGAGAAAGGCACGTGTGTCCAAAAAAAAGATGGGAGGGGGGGGGGGGGGGGCGTAACAACAATGCTGCGCGAGACGCCGATGGGAAATAACGAGGGATCTAGGATGCTTTTAGACGATGATTCAAATGGAAATTAATGTGTCGTCGCGTTGGATAGATTTCAGTGGAAACCGAGTCTCGCTTTGTTGACGAGCGTAGATGTAAGAGAGCACGTGGCGCGTTTTTCTGGGTATATCGTACATGCAAATCAGCACCAAGAGTATAATCAGATAAAGCTCACGGACTTTTTTTTTTCTCTTTCTTAAGTTCCCCGCGCGATCCGAGCTCTTGGAAATATTCCTGCCGGGGGAGATGGAGAGCGTGCTAATTATTTGATAATATCTCGCGCGCCAAAGCTCATTTATTGAAATAATAAATTAATCGGCGCGTTCAGTGTTGGGCAAGCGGCGGCTCTTGTATCGAATAATCTGTTGTACGGCTCGCCGCCGTCTATTACGACTGATTTATGCGCGCGAATTAATCGTGCTTATTTTTCGCCTTCGGGAGCGCGTTTACTTTCGAGAGAGAGAGAGGACTTCCTCGCGCAAGCGGACGGGGAAAACGAAGACACCGCTTACGTAACGCGAGGCGTCCGGAGCGCCGCGTCGTCTGCTGTCCGCCGCGGTCGTTAATCGCGATCAGCAGCCTCTCGAAGTTCGCGCGGCTCTCCGTGCGCGCGAAAAAAGAAGCGTACGCGCCGCGCTGTCGCTCGCTACGAATAACAGGGCTTACGTAATCGCGAGCCGATCGCAGAGAGCCGCGCGAACTTGGCAGCACGCACGGCGCATATCCGTATATTATATATCGGTGGACGCGCGCGTGACTTTTCGCGGGGCCCGGTCGGTCAGTCGACGTACCCGCGCGTGCTTCCGACACAGACGGGGCTCTTTCTCGCTCGCTCGATGCTCAATTTATCGAGGCGAATGCCAACTCGCCCCTCTGAAATTTATCCGCACCAGCCAGAGCGACAGCAAAACATGTACACGTGTGTGGTTTCGCTACGCTAATTGCTCTCGAGTGTTATAATTGCTGTTTCTGTTTACTCCGCGTCAGGGCCTCTCGGCACAATTTATCAAGTCTTATCAGCTCTATACATCTGATTAGAGCCAAGGATTTCGCTTTTCTACCTGCTAAGTGCGAGCGCGCGAGTACAATTCGTTGCTTGACAGTGAACGTCAAATTGCTTCACAAACGAAACCGTTGCCAGTAAAACGAATCGGCACTAGCAAGCGCAGGCAAATGACGCCAGAATGAAAATAGAGAAGCAAAGTGCGGAGGTGGAGAGAGAAATCGATATCGATGACCATCGACTTACGCCTTTTTTTTCTACGCTGCGGCGCACCTCTCACTTTGGACGCCGGAAGCTGCACAGTTATGAAAGATTGCTACGATTTTCAAACTCAATACCCGCTACTTCGTTCCTCTTTTTTTTCTTTTTTTTTTTCTTTTTATTACGTGGCTCATCGGAATCATTCGCAAGCGATCGATGAAAGGCGTATTCCAGCATCACAGTTGTCACGTTATTGACCGCAGTATCAGCGTCGGATAAATTTATCTGCCATCATT